GAGAGAGAGAGAGAGAGAGAGAGAGAGAGAGAGAGAGAGAGAGAGAGAGAGAGAGAGAGAGAGAGAGAGAGAGAGAGAACACAAAGGATCCCCTTCCCACGTATCAGAGGGCCCACGGAGGTTATCTGAAGGGTCCTCGCAGCAATTTAGCACGGACCCTCCAAGAAAATTGAGGCAGGCAGTGAATACGAAGTGGAGCACGAGCTAGATGAATATATACTCAGGATTCGTATTCAGGTCTGCGTTTCAGCAGTTACGGGTTGCTCACTTAGCTAGGCACTGTTGGTCTCTGCACGTGATTCTCAGGGCTTGGCTGCAGTACTCACCAAATGTGCAGAATTAGAATGAATCTTCTGCTAGAACAGAATAATACACCGCCATATGTTTTGTCTTTTGTGCATGTGGTGAGTAGAGGCCCTTAGGGCCACTGTGCAGAATTAGAATGAATCTTCTGCTAGAACATGGAATAATACGCCGCCATATGTTTTGTCTTTTGTGCATGCGGTGAGTAGAGGCCCTTAGGGCCACTGCATGTATTCCTAAGAAAAGGAAAACGAGAAATCAAAAGGAAAATGAGAAAACAAAAGGAAAACGAGAAAACAAAAGGAAAACGAGAAAACAAAAGAAAAACGAGACAACAGAGAAACAGTGACCCATAACTGAGACCTGAATTCGAATCCAGACTATATATTGTCAGCTCACGCAGACAAACTGGAAGTCTATCTCTGCTCCACGAGGCATCCTTGCTAATTTGTAGGGGCCCTTCAGAAATGAGACTGGACACAATTAGGACATGCACACCCACACGCACACACATGTGCTCACAGTGTTGGGGTATGGGGTGGCCCCAACTGTTTTCCCTCTTGCAGTTCGATTTTCAGAAGCGAGGGGAAATGTTTGGCCACCCACCCTGTCCTTTCTTTTTCTTTCTTTTTCTTTTTTTTTTTGCCACTTTTTGGTGATGCGCCGCATCACGTTCGCTCGCGTGCATGCGTTTGCGCTCTGCGCCGCATGTGCCGCGACCCTGCGCACGGGATGCGCCGCAAGTAAATGATTAGCCTAGAAATAGGCTAGGGCGATTACTAACACTGGCCAAAGCTCAGAATGACCTGCCAACTGGCAGCCCTTAGCCAGGGGAGAATCGTCTGCACATTTCTGGGGTAATCTCCGTTTATTGCCCTTTCGTTTCATTAAACAGACATTATTTTCTATATTTCGTGACAAATAGACTGATTCACCGAAACAATAGTGCGTCAGATCGGACTCTTCAAGTTTCTCCCTACTCCATACCCACCATTTCTTTGTGACTCACCATATTCCCCTCCCCCCCTTTCCCCCCATCGGCCCCACCCTCTCCATTCCTCCCTAGTTGGCCACAATAGCTCCACCCTCTCCATCCCTCCCTAGTTGGCCACAATAGCTCCTTTACTTCCACCCTGAGGACCAGCTTCTGCTGCTACTACTGCTGCTGCTGCTGCAGCTGGATCCTCAGCATATTGTGCATGACAACTCAACATCATAGCCAAGATTTACCACGAAATTATACACAGGATGATTGACGAGAGGTTGAAGGATAAGTATGAGGAACTGGGTAATATACCGTAATCCTAACCAACAAAAAGTTAAAAGCAATTTGTAGGTACTGCGATGGGATTTTCCATCGTTTCTGCAGAGGGCCGGCAAAATACCCCTCTTCCTCTGTCACCTCACGTATGCCAATTCACCCACCACCTTCATCCGCCCTGAGCTGAAACAGGGAAGACCGACTCTCTCCCTGCAGGGCCTCTGCACTTCTTCTCCCCTCGTTATCCGCCGCAAGTGCCACTTGATGTCGGGCTTCTCGCAGAGGTACACCCTCTTCCCACCCATCTTCACCCATGTTCTGACTCAATAACATTTTTGCCGACAACCTTCCCTCATTCGTTATTACATTTCTTCCATTTTTCAATCAACTTGACATGCAAACTCTCACCACTTCTCCCAGCCTCCAACCTCAAAACCTTGTCATCAGTGCCAGCCCAACCAAATAAAGAGGAATAGCATCATCACTCGATCCACCATATCATTACATTATGACGATTTACCATAGCATTCTCAGTTTCAGTAAATTCAAGCCGCCTTTCTATCGGATGTTTCCATCTCCCTCCAATAGCTGCACCACTTTTTCGAATAGTATAGCAAGTACTTGCAAGTCCGACAGGTCAGTTCAGAGTCCTCAGACAGATCAACTGTGGCCGCTCGTTCATAATCGCAGTTGATTGAAAAAAGTGTTGCTCTCATCTCCTGATCCTGACCCATCACCAATACTCTGCACAAAAAGAACAGCTGAATTTCTGAAAGCAACATACTGTTTGCTCGGCCAACATCAACCATATGCATATGGATTTACGATGAGGACGAGGATACATTCAACACCGTTACAACAAGTGTAAAAATTGTTATCAATAAGAATAAAAAGAACAACAGTTTTAATCCCACAATGTACAGTTTGGAAATCCTGGACATGGAGCTAAGAGAAGGTACGACTACCTACCGTTGTGTTCTTTGCTCCTGCTTCCGCAACTAACGCAAG